TTTCAAATCAAGAGTGGAACGCGTTCATAAATCGTCACTCCAACCTTCAGACATGAGATACAAAAGGACCACAACATGAAAAACTCGAAAGATATTATTTCAAATCAAGAGTGGAACGCGTTGGGCTGACGTTCCTGGGTACCTATTGGACTCACGGTACGGCGCAGCTCTTTCGCCGTCCATTAAGCGCGGTGTATTTACCTAGGCTGCTCGTTTTGTAGTACTCCTCTCGCCTAGCTTCTTCATCGCTCACAGCTCATTCCCATTCCATCCTCGCCTTTCTCTGTCTTCGTCCACCGTTTTCCTGTCATCACGTACTCGTTGGTGCGCGCGGGTCAAGCTTCCGACGTCCTCACGTGAGGAATCGTTTCCAAGAAGCGAATGGTGATGGAGCTCAGCCGTGAGCATTGAGTGTACATGGCCAAGCTCGCCGAGCAGGCAGAGCGTTACGATGAGATGGTGGATCCTGTGAAGAAAGTCGCGAAGCTCGATGTGGAGACGGTCGAGGAGCGGAACCTTTTTTTTTTTTTCGAGGAGCGGAACCAGTTGTCCGTTGAATACAAAAAAACGTCATTGGAGCTCGTCGGGCCTCATGGCGTATTATGTCCTCGATTGAACAAAAGGAGGGCAACAAGGGAAGTGAGCAGAATGTGAAACGCATCCAGGAGTACAGGCACGAAGTAGAGCAGGAGCTCTCCAGCATTGGCAATGACATTTTGAATGTCATCGACGAAAATCTGATCCCATCCTCGGATACGGGAGAGTCGAAGGTCTTTTACTTCAAGATGAAGGGCGATTGCTACCGGTATGTCGCTGAGTTCAAGAGTGGGAATGAGAGGAAAGAGGCAGCCGAGAACTCCCTTATTGCTTATACGAGTGCATCCGAGATTGCAAATGGTCGATCTTGCCCCCACGCATCCCATTCGTCTTGGATTGGCGCTGAACTTCTCGGTGTGTTCTTCTACGAGATCCTGAACTCCCCGGAAAGGGATTGCCATTTGTTGAAGCAGGCATTTGATGAGGCAATTGCTGAGCTCGACACGCTGAGCGAGGAGTCTTACAAGGACAGCACCCTCATTATGCAACTCCTTCGGGACAACCTTACTCTCTGGGCGTCGGATTTGCAAGATGACGGAGGTGACGATGTTCCCAAGGGAGATGATGGAACGACGGCGGAAGAGGCAGAGGGCGAGGACCATTGATTGAGAGGGAGGGGGGAGGGTTTTTCAATTGGGGTTTACAAGGGTTTCACTGGAGAGTTAATTCTGGGGGTGTAAATACCCCCCAACCTGCACAAGGTCTGGGTCTGGGAGTTTTAGATGAGATGTCCGCTTGTCCTCTAACGAATGTGCACGCACGTCTTCCTGGTTGGTGCAGAAGACATGCAAGTCGAGGAAACGCAGGGGCGCTCCAAAAATGAATGACAGAGGGCGAGGGGCTGGGGCAGGGAGGGTTGGAGGTAGTATGTGGGCGTGTGTGCACGAGCGTGTCGAGACGGAGTGTGTGAGCTGTCAGCGAGAGGGTGACAGAGTGCAGTCGTCGAGTGCGTGTATGTGTGCTCACTGCTCTGGGAGTGCGTGAGCCGAGGTGAAGTGGCGGTGATATGCGGGGTGCGTGAGGAGCTTTGCTCAAGCAGGGCATGAATTGTATCGTGGTAACGGAGAGCGAATGTTCTCGAGAGAAGCTGGAGACGGAAAACTCTGTCAATGGGGATGCCAAGCGCACTACTGGCAGGAAATGGACGGTTTTGGATTTATGCTTCACCGGCGTATTCTGGTTACTGTGGCTGCTGTGGACCAGGTTGGGGTCGAATGATTTTTTTTATAGCGACCGTTTTGACATGGCGTTGCTTTGAATTGGTGGGTGCGACCTCTTTTCGGCTGGTGGCAGGCGTATGGTTGGAACGACCTGAAAGATTTTTGCGCGTGACATTGGTGTGCGCCCGGCTTTTTGTTAACGGTGTGCACAGACTTCGGTGTGTACTGTCCGTTGTTGCCGGTTGGCGAGGGAATTTCAATGGAATGATGAAGTATATAAATCTAGGCAGTGATTCACATGTCAAAAACAAATCATATCCAGCGGCCTAGGTCAGTTGGCAAGGCACGCAAGTGGCATTCAGGAGGTCTTGGGTTCAATCCCCATTGGCCTCATGCACCTTCCTGGGCAAGCTTGGCGCCTGCCACCTAGAGATACCCTGTTGGTCCGCCCAAGTGGCATTGAGCAGAGACTGCTGATGTTCATAGGGGGAGGGGACCGGAGGGGAGGCACAGTGACTGGCCCATCGAAGAAGCTTGGTTGGCCGGTATAGCCCAGCTGCTGTAGCAGGTATCCCACCTGCTGGTGGGTGCAGCTCCGGCTCCCTCGTTGGAGGCTTGAGCAGGGATGTGTAGCAGGTATCCCACCTGCTGGTGGGTGCAGCTCCCGCTCCCTGGTTGGAGGCTTGAGCAGGGATGTGGCTGCTACGTGGTTCCCCATAATACTATAATGACAATAAAAAAGGCCTGAAAGGCCGTCCTGTCCAGATTTGACAGGTGATTGAATTGGTTGGGCCTTTTCAAAACAAAACAAAACAAAAAACACAAAAATTCATAATAATAAAAAATCAAAGAATGATGAACCCGTGTCAAGTTGTATATATGCCAGCTGTGGCTGCCTCCAGCACTCAACAGGTATGTAGCTCTCTCTCTCTCTCTCTCTCTCTCTCTCTCTCTCTCTCTCTCTCTCTCTCTCTCTCTCTCTCTGTGTGTGTGTGTATATATAGTGCGAGGCACAAGGCCTCGATAAGCCCTACTGGGCCCCTATTTGCAACAAGCGTCGGGCGCCCTCAGTGAAGGCAGGCTCGACAGACCTCAAGAGGCCTATTTTGGACTACTACGCAACTGGGGAAATTCAGGCAGTTGTGCAGTGCCAGTTGGTTGGAAGCGCCCAGGCCCAGGCTGCCTTGCATTGCATGTAACTGAGGCAGGTCCTGGGCCGGATACACAAAGTGGACCGAACAAAAGCTGAGGGCAGTTGGGTGCTTGTAACCACCACAGGCCCTGGGCCTGTTGACTTCGGAATGAGGCTCAGCCTCCCTGGGCCTACCGGAAGCTTCTGGACCGGGGCCCAGTACCGCAGCACAGCACGCAGCCGCAGACCACTTCGATATAGGGAAGGGCCTGCCTACGCATTGGACATTCGGGCACTGGGTGCTTTGTGCGCAAGCGCTGCTGCGCTATCGCCTGCCAGGCTCACGCGCTCACGGGCGAGCTGGAAGTAGCAGGCAGCCATAGCCTAGCTGCGCTGCTGTATTGACGCATGCCCAATGGGACAACGCGTAGGGAGCCAAGGATCCGCAATCTGATGAAAAGGACTGAAATGGACAATGCAAGGTCAGCTTAGCATCAACATGCAATGTACATTCCGATACATACAAGATGGCACAAAGTGGCGCAGCGGAAAACTTTAAAGAGAAGATCTGATCTGATCTGGACTGACCCGGCATCCATCATACATCACACCGGTGAGAGGGGAGGAGGGACCGCAATCACAGAAGAAAGGTCCCTCCTTCACAGTGTTCACACACATTCATGGGGAGATGCCACGGATGAGAGATGGGGGAAAGGGACGAGATGAAGGAGAAGGAGTGTGGCATTCTGAGCCACACGGGCCCCAGTTAGGGCCCGGTTCCAGACAGGCAGGGTAGGCCTAAGGGACGACGGTTCAGATGAGGCCCAGATGGGCCTGGACCATGGCGGTTCAGGCAGGCCTAGGGTAGAGGCCCAGGCCAAACGGCCACAAGGCCGGTACCGGTCCAGCCTAGGACCTACCGGCGGCGTTTCAGAGGCTGCCACATTTTGGCGCCAAACCCAATTTGAATCTGGACCGTCGATTCAGATCAACAGTCCAGGCCGGTAGGTACCAGCAGGTAGGAGGCGGGCCCAGCACTACAAAGGCTGGGTACCAGCCTCCGTAGGGAGAGTTAGTATGGACGAGGTTAGTCTGCAGGATTAGCGTGGAAGCCCGGCGTTAGCTCGATTAGCGCAGCGCTGCAGCACAGCGAGGAGCAGCGAGCGAGCGAGAGTCCACTGGCGAGGAGGTTAGCGCAGCATTGGGCGCAGCGCCAGTTACCGGCCCAACCCCTTGCAGCGCCATAGCCAGGTACCAGGGAGGAAGGCTTCGCCTTCTCTCCCTCCTCTCCTCT